AAACTTGATTTTCAAGTGTGGGATAACAAATGCATTTCTTTGAAATATCCTGTAGCATTTAGTCGGAGTCAGCAAGAGCTCTAACGAGGTAAACATTATTGCAGAAATTTGAATTAATATAAATCCTTTTAGATGGCGGTTCTGTTAGCGAATGGCAGCATTCTCTAAAAGACCTTTCCTAAAGCAACAAGAGGGAAATGTGTGGTATAATTCTCTATCAGTTTCTTTATCTTTATGATTATCTGTATATAATATATATATATATATATATATATATATATATATATATATATATATATATATATATATATATATATATGCATGTATGTGCATACATGTTTGTGTGCGCACACATGTGTGTGTATGTGTGTAGATATAGTTTATGATCAAGGAACACTTTCACAGTTTCAAGATATCAGCTCTACGGACAGTCATGCCATTAATGAATGTGAATCGTTCAACACGACTCATTATAAACGCCATTAGCTGAGATAACCTTCCACCCTCCCATTGGACGCAGCTTCAGAGACCAAAGACCAAAATTAGTTAGTGGTCGGGAGAAGGTGCGGCTACGTCCAGTGTTGGAATCCCATTAATTTGATAATATAAAATAGGAAGATGCTAGGAGGCTACCTTGCGGTACTCCTCGATTTTTTATGTACACGCTTTCTCGTGTAATAACCAATGTGTATCTATACTTTTCAGATTTCGATAGACTTTAAACAAGGACAAAACATCACATGTTTTTAGATGTTATTTTCTTGCTATTAATTGTATTCAGAATAAACTACGCCATTTTGAAATCGCATTTCGACCGCCGCCCACGTTGAAGATTTTTGGCCACGCCCACCAGAGGACGCCATCTCTTTGGCAAGTGTCTAAAGGAGAAAATATGTAAAGCTGTTTATTTAATATGCATATTATACATATGCATATATGATAATATATAATATACATTATATATATATATATAATCCATATATGGATAAACCTTATATGTGTATATACAATACACATATATATATATATATATATATATGTATATATAATATATATATTCATATATATATATAAGTATATATATATATATTATATGTATAATATATATATATATATAATATATCTACAACTTAACATAATATATTATAGTTATATATTACGGTGTATGTAAATTGTACATAATATAATATATCATATATACATGTATTGTATATATGTATATGTTAATGTATATATATATCATATATATATATACATATATATATATATGTGTGTGTGTTATGTGTGTTAGCGTGTGTGTGTGTGTGTGCGTGTGTGTGTATGTGTGTGTGTGTGTGTGTGTGTGTGTGTGTGTGTGTGTGTGTGTGTGTGTGTGTGTGTGTGTGTGTGTGTGTGTGTGTGTGTGTGTGTGTGTGTGTGTGTGTGTGTGTGTGCGTGCGCGCGCGTGTGAATGGTCCTTAGTCTGTGTACATATTGCAATCTCTACATTGATACTCATAACCTGATGCCTTCTCAAAACGGTTTCTTTCGGAGGTCAAGTACTTTCGTCAGGGTGGCACTTGGCCTGATTTATTTCAGCAACACCGACTCCCTTCAAAGAGTAAATGCCGCAAATACAAGGTTATTTCTGTGTATCATTCCCTCAGAGAGTTTGGAACGAACAATTCAAAACGACTTGAGCATCCCTAGAAAACTCACATTGGGTTATCACATCATGATACCGCAATATCAATACATTATCCTTTTATCCTGGGGCGAAATGTGTTGACTTTCCCTCCCTCAGCGCCAGGGCCCCGAGATCTCAATGGACCGCGCCCGCCGGAGACAAAGGGAGCTCTGTCAGCTGATGTGAACGAAGGATGAAGTGTTTACGTAGCAGGGAGAGCGTGTGTAATGTTTAGGGGTTACGAGCATAATTTTCATTTATTTCCTATTTTCGTTTGTGGGTTAGATTGGAGCAATTTACTTTTCTTGGCGATATCTACTGGTCACAGAAGTTTGCAGATTAAAATAAACTCTGTAACAATTATAACAAAAGTATGGGTTATGTAACGTAAACACTGCAAATCAATATCATCAGCCTCTTAACTGAATGTAAAATTGTTACTGATATTCAGTAAATGAAAATGAATTATCAATAAATAATAATATTTGCGATTGTGATAATTAATAAGGTATTAGACAGTTATAAAATTATGATAATGATAACGATGGCAGTCATTGTCAGTGTTATTATAATAAAAAAAAAATATTGACAGTTTCACTGATGTTTATGATTGTAATATTGATTGTAATAATGATAATGAAGAGCAGTTTTTATTATCGTTTGTATAATGATGATAGTGATAAGAATTGTTTTAAAGATAACGTTAAAATTATGATTGATATTCCGTAGTAATAAAGATAAGTATTATCGTTATTGTCATTGATAGGTAGGGAGTTATTACAATATCAATAAATATATATTGCATGGGCATCTCTCTCTCTCTCTCTCTCTCTT